TGCTGTCATATCATTGAATTATAGCCGCATTTTTCTTCAAGAAACAACCTTATTTTCTATCAGCGGTTGGTTCTTAAGAACTACGTACCTAATTTTAGAGCGATGGTTTAAAATAATACACAGTGATAAGTGATTAATCTGCAGATGGCTTGTTAAATTTACAGACGTACTGTAATTTTCTGCTAAAGTAAAATATCAGTGATAATCAATGAATACGGAAGACTAAGTGAAGCTTGAGACGGAGTTCGGAGTTGCGCTTTGAGAGCCAAGCAGAAATAGGATGAGAAAACCCATGAAATGGGAAACCTAGGAGAGCGGGCAAAATTTGATCATCCAAAATATGCGCGGTTTCCCAGCGATTAATGTGCTTTATTGTTTCATTAAAGCAGGTTGTTTCCACTCATTTTTACTCTATAACTTGCTGCAACAGTTTTAAAGCTGCATATTGGGCCCCTTCATGAACACGCAAATAATCAACCCTATTTATTGATCGTAATCATTTGTCTGCTTTTCTTGAAGAAGACAATTTTCTTGTTTTAAAAAAAATTTAGTCATTTTTAAATAGGTTATATTTGTAATCGTTCTTCAGCAAAAGCACTTATAATGCAAGGAGTTATACTTGACTGTTCATAAGAGGTGGGCATCATCTGATTTAGCAAATGCGAGAAATTCTCAGGCAAATGCACCATCTTGATCTTTACTGATAGTGCTATATCAGGACCTTGCACTTTCGTTGGCTCTTAATAATTGTGGTATGGAACTGTTCACATATTACCTCTGACAAGATTCGGGAATACCTTATGGGACCTGTATAAATATTACTTAGAACTGTTACTGTCAACTTACGTTAGTTTATTGGTTCTTTTGGGTACAGTCGCTTTCTCTTCAATTCAATCCTATATTGCCTGTTGCTTATGTTCACATCATTGTTATTTCCGTGTCTCAAACTGCCGAAAAGCGCATGCCTGTTATATACTGTAGCATAAATCTTGACTTCACCTTAGCCTTGTTCCAGAATTCATTGATTCAGAATTGGGTGAGAAGAAAGGATGTGACAGGAATGACAAATCAGCTGATTAAGAACTTATCTGGACCATGGTTGTTTTTGTGTTACTTATTTTTTGTCTAACGCATCTGATTTAAAAGTTGTATTTCATTAAAGGAACTGAATTCGAAAAACTCTCGTTTTTGAGCCGTCTGTTCTCCAGAGGATAAGATCAGCAAGGCGAACTCACTTGGCTGAACCACGGATGAGACGGTCCAGGGATAGATGGCAGACGAGGCGATTGGATTACATTGTTGCGTGTGCAATCCACATATTCGTACTTATTCGTTTTACGGCGGACCAGAACCATTGAAAAGACCTTCTCTAAAAGTTGCCCTGTGACCTCAATGAAGAGCAGACTCTTTACATAATTAATGAATGGCATGAAAGAAAGAACCATCGTGGTCATTACAGGAACCGAAATAACTATAACTTTACTTCTATTTAAAATTATTGACACCTGATTTTTCTATTTTGGACTTGATTATACTCTCAATTATCTAGAGTTCCAATTATTTAGAGCTAGTGGCCACCGAAGTTCGGGATCACATTGCTGGTCGAGATGTGGTGGAATGTATAATTCTGAGCAGCTGCAGTTGACATGCAAGTCTGTCATGAGTCGCGAAACAATTGGATGAGATGAATCTTGTAACTAGGACTGGCAGAATTTCTTATTCCTTTTAAAGCAGTTCTATCCATGACAAACATACTTTAATCATCGTCCCTATTAATTCTTGAAAAGTGTATGACGACATTTTTCCATTGCTGAAAGGAGGATGACGATTAACTTGTCAGGCTAGCGGATTTAAGTTGCAAATGATTTCAGTGGATCATGTTAGAAGGGAAGGGAAAGTAGCATCATCTTGTCACTTGGTTCAATAAATAGTGGTAAATGTTTCATGCAGGTATTGCCTAAACTTCTACTGTAATGATGTCCTCATCATTCCTTTAAACGGACGACAATATTGCCTGTAATTATACAGTAGGACACAGGCACTGTTATTCTAGAAAGAAGCCCACTCGGCTGTTCGCCATTTTAATTGCCATCTAACAGCGCACTATGATCGGCACAGATGACCACTGCACGTAAAGATACGGGTCACCAACGAAGACTACTAATCAGCTGGTAACAGCGACTGCGCACACAGCTTGAGAGCGACAGTCTTTAATTAGGCGTTAAACGGGCTGCGAGTTTGTTGCTGAAAGAATCGTTAATGACTGAAGTTGGTACGCCAGTTTCCCTCTAATTACAAGGCACACGTCAAATGATGGAAGACAAATGGGAAGGTTCGCCATGGTCGGGTGAAATTTAGAAGAAATGCTGCGCGTTTATGAGTAGCTATTTTTCGATCATGATGATCAGCTTCACAATATCTTCCCTCGTAGAGCTGCATTAAAACGATCAGAAAAGGCGACTGTGTCTGCGAAATGCTCTGAGAATGAAGGGTGTCACTGGAAATCTGACTGCTAGTGAACGTTGCTGTTCGATGATAAATTTGCTTGAACCACATGACAGTAATAGAACACATTGTAAGTACTGTTGTAAAGCGATAGACAACACTCGTCGAATGTTCTGGAAGTAAATTCACTAGCTGCGTCTGGTGAGTTCCTCCTAAATGTAGACTTCTGAGCTTGAAGAGAGAGGGCGAGGTTTCGCAGCTATGTGGCAAACAGAAGTCACCAGGCGACGAAGTTCGCTTCCTGGGATACTCTCCAGGACCGTATCACATACGTACTCCAGGTCACTATGACATCTGGTCCGGTATCTTGAGCTTTCCTTTTCCTCTGAAATGAGACCTTCTTTTTTGTCAGCGTCAGCACTGATTCAGAGAAGAAAATCGAGAACAGTATTGACAGAAGGGGCTAGAGCACGTTTCCCTGGCAAGCTCTAAACTTCATTGCGAACCAGTTACACACCTCTCGTTCGTATGTATCAGCATTCAACTCTTTTGCATGTAGTTCTTCCTAGGTGGGAAAGATTTGTTGATATACACCATTGCACTGTAAGATTACCCACATCGATGGACGATTACCGTTAAAATCGAGGAAACAGGCAAATCATGGTCACTTGAATGGTCAGTATTGCATACTGATCATCGAAGGACATTATTATCGCCGAACATTGAGAAAATCTTGCTGGAAAAACTACGTATATGGCTCTTCTTGACAGAGAAATTTGAAACGTTTCAGTATCTAGGTTCCATCGTTTCCAGCAATGGTTTCCGCCGGTCACAGTTAAGCAAGAGGACTACCTTTGCTTCCAATACCTTAGGTACCCTGTCCAATATTTTTGGTGATAAACAACTATCTTTTATCACAATATTTTGCCTGCTATTTGTTTCGGTCAGGTCAGCGTTGCTGTGCGGCAGGAATAACTTTTCTCTAAGCGAACTTAAGAAAGACATCATAAACTGCTATCACTTCCAAGGATGTAAAAGACGAATGACTTCTCCAAGACAGATTTCCGGACGTGCAGCACTGCCCCTTTGCTCCTAGTTTTCTTGGGGAGGAGGGGAGGGGGCATTTATGCGGACCACTGCTCCATGGAATTTGAGCACCTGTAGTGTCAGTTTCATCTCGCATCACTTTGTTGCTTAGAGGTGTCTCGCTGTCACCCGAATTATGTTTAAGGAGCAATTATTTGTTATGTGCTACTGCAGTACCAGGTCCCGAAATATCGTTCGTGATTAGCGTGAAATGGCGCTCGTGATCCAAATGATGCGAGGTGCATTTGCCACTGCAGGTGCTCCAACACCTTGAGCCACTGAATGTTTAGATGGAACAAAATTTTTTGACTGAGAAGGACGGTTGAACAGTGTAGAAGAGCTTTGGCTTCGAGGCATAATAAATGAGAAGACCACGGGAGGAATGATCGATGATACTTCTCTTCCGGATGTAGTGATTAAGATTAGAAAAGAGATGGTCGCACTGCTAGCCATTGTTTGAACATGGAGTTTTCATTTCATGGGAAAAAATAGTAGTAAGTTCGAAAATAGACTTATTTTTTCCCTCGAAAGAGCTTTCGATTTTGGACTGTCAATGGATTGTTTTCTTGGTGCATAGATAGAAACCCCAAGCGTAAAACAGGTGGAAAGGTTTTACCAATAGCCGATTTATTTTGCTACAACAATGATGATATTATCAAGCCCGGAAACATTTAATAGACGATTTAAGGTAATGATCACGACAAACGGCGTTTTGCCAGTTGATGTTTGTACGCAATTTTGAGCAGTGTATTTTTGAATATATGACCAAGAACTGTTTGCTTTGTATTTAATAGCGCGATAGACCAATTTCTTTTGATGTCGATTCGCAACAGGATGACAAAAGTTCGTCGACTTCAGCGAAAGCAGTATATTATCGATCCGTCACAGTATCCATGGTTAAGAGAGGTAACAAATGTTATGTGAAAAAATTGATTTACTTTTTGATGGGTGCCGTGATACGTTTGTGTGGTGGTTAAATTCGAATTTCTAGCCGCATGTCCGGTCGTATGATGGTCGTTTGATGACGACGCCGAAAGACATATGGCCGGACATTATTACGCGGTTCTCGTTTTAATGGTCGTCGAGTGACTCGTCGTCGAATGGGAGGTAGCTGAGCGAAGAACATCTCGTTGTTGGCGACGGTTGGAAAAACTTTTCATGGTCGCCATCGATCCTTCTCGACGGCAGCGCTTTCGCGCAACGGATGAGCACTGCATCAATATGATCGTCATCGCTGTCATCGACACTAGCAACGACGAGATGATTCAGACGCAAGCTTTTGAAGCGGCTAAAGCATGTCTGCAGCCGAAAACTTTTTTTTATCTGTTTGTGTTTCTGTCGCTTAGCTTATGT